GGAACGAAAAATGGATCAACAAAATAGAAGGCAATCAGCAAAATCAAAACAGGCAAATAAAAACTTTTGCTCACGGCTCATATTCCATTTCTCAAGAAACGGTAAGTCATCGGCTAGTATCAGATCCGAGGTTCTGACCCGAACAAAGCGGCCCATCCAACCCCGATCCCGAGTCTCGTCAATACTCGAGAATGGCGCTTTGGTTGTTCGGTGAGCAAGCTTGATCAACCCTCCTCGATAAAGTCGGGGACTGTAAAGGCGCATAAGATGGTCGAGGGTGAAGATACGTCCCTCGACCTTGCTCGAGAAAAATCGAAGAAGAATCACTATCCTCCAAAAGGAAGGGTGAATTTGGCCGAGTATCACGTCGTACCTCTTGCAAAAGGCAACGACGACAGGGTCCAGGGGTCCCAACGTGAAAGGATAAGTATAAACACTTAAGAACCCTTCGACGTAGGTAATAATTGATTCATCGGGTGGTGGGATTACCACGAGTTTGTTATCCCAATTACATTCATGTATAACTTTATCAAGAACTTTTTCGGTAATCAAACATTGGTACCTCGACATCGGCTCATACCGACCCGGTATCGGAGAAGGCTTTTCAATCTTAAAATCACCTACAGTCGAACACCCAATCGGAACAAATTCCTCAAGGCAGGGTTCTCCCACATCCTCACCACCAGAAGGCCGAGAAGAAGAAGCGGTCTCTTTTTGCGGAACAGACTTGGACGTTTTTGCCATTTGAAAATGCCGTAGACAAAGAATGAGGATATTTTGGTGCTCTAAGGAAGAATTCTGGGGAACTTGAAAAATTGGGAAGTTTGAAGACATGAAAAATGACGAATGGTGGAAGAAAATGCCATTTATATATTGAAGCATTAACGGTTCAGTATCAGATGTGGCCGACCGCCGCCTGACACATTAAATGCCTCGGTAAAACCAAATCGACGGGATAGCTATCATCTACATCATGGTCGATATCGATGAAAACGTCAGTATATATTTAATCGAGATGTTGGAAAATCATATCGTTTCTCATTAAATTCTTCTCCGAGAAACGAGGGGACTATCTGTATACGGTTAAAACCGATCTTGGTCATTCATACGGGCTGGTCGAAGATAATGGTGTATCGATCAAAGGACATCTGCATAACATGCCCGGTCAAAATACGAAATAGGGACGTCGAGCTCCGAGCCTCAAGACCGGTTAATGACCTGTTCGATATCGAGCATCGAGAACAACTATGGTAGCTCGATATCATTATCGGGCTCATACCCAAATCAGATTACGAAGCAAGGTAGAGACCATCGACGATACGGAGACCGACCAACTTGCACGCTAAACACCGAGATCCCCAGGTCAGAATCGAGCCTTGACCAAGGCCGATAGCTCGATCCAGTGTCGAGCTCGAACCAGTATCGAGTTTGCGGACAAAAGTCGTTGCAACCGCACCAAGGTAGAGAATCTTAACGGGAATCAACGAGGAAACAAATCATCATGGGTTCTCCACTATATGTATTATTTTATATTTTGTTGTAAACAGAGCAATGACCCTCTCTTATAAAAAGGGCATCCTTGTAGACAAGAAAAGGATGGATAGAAACAAAGAGATCTACTTAAGCCTGTTTTAGATTATCCAATAGAGGGAGCTTCCTGTTCATCTTTCCTGCTCTCATAGCTAAAATTCTTGTATTGTCGTCTTTGTATCAAAGATTTTACGTACCCTTAGAACCATACATAAATTCAACATTATCCGATTTTTTGGGTAAACAGATATATATTCTGTTTTAGAAAATTTTGCAACGAAACTTTAGAAAAATGAAATAATTCAAAAACGTCAATGTCTCGAAATAGTTGGGTACCATGACCCTTCTTTTTGAAAAAAATCTGCCATTTGTCACCTTATGGTTCTAGTAAGCACCATTATTTCATTGACTTTTCATAATTTTCTTTTTCCTACCGACGTTTCATAATTGTTTATAAAAGGCTAACTCATCATATCTTGTTTTCGTTTTTAGTTTTTTATTCGGATAAATTGAATTTGTGCCGCGTAAAATTTATTAAAGAAGGAAGTGTCTTTTTCATTTAGAAAGACTAGAACCCTCCCACCACTAACTTTGATGTTTGTATTAGTCAGATCTCTGGCTATTATACTATTCCATCAATTTGTGTTCTGTAAAGTCGACATGAAAGGAGAAAGATTGCAATCCCAAATTTTCACACGCAAAAGTATTTACACCAAACTTGAATCAGCATTTACATCTTCCCAGCATACAACTGCTTTCCTAAAGATTTAGTCAAAACCACACATTGGAATTGGATCCCTACACCTCACTACTCTTAGCTCCATCTAATCTCAAGACAAAGATTGCTCTCTAAAAAATTGAATACTCCATTTTCCTCTCCCATGGCGATTCTCATCTTCTTCTGTTTCATTAGCTTTATTGCCCCACTTTCTTCTTCCCTTGAACACCATTCCCACTTAACGAAACAAAGTCTTCGCCAGAACACTACTTCTTCACAGCAATACTTGGAAATCACTCGTCCATTGCCATTCGCTAATCTCACCCCTTCTTGCACTTTTCATATCCTCACCCACAACTTCAGCAATACAATAGGTCTCCCGCCGGTCTCTGTTTTATATTCTCCCCCGTCCAATTGCTCTTGGACTCACGTGGTTCTTCAGTTCAATGCTTCTTCCAAAGGTTTCCAATACGATCGTATCGCCGCCGTTTGGCTTGACGGTGCCGAGCTCCTCCGTACTAGCACCCCCGAGCCTACTGATAACGGCGTTTTCTGGTCCGTTACTAAAGACGTTACCAGGTACTCCTCCATCCTGGTCAACTCGAATAAATCTCTTTCTGTCATGTTAGAAAATCTGGTCAACGACATTTATACAGGCGTTTATCAAGTTAATGTTAGTTTCCTCTACTATGATGTTAAGCCTGTGGATAATCCAATAGAAATGGGAGCGAACAATTTGAAAAGTTCCTACGAAAAACCGGCAGATTTGATAATACCAATAACATCGGGAAATGGGAGTCAAGGATTTTGGTTCCGATTTCTAAACGAATCAGAGTTGCATGGACAGAAAGTTATTATTCCGAATAACACATATAAAGCTGTGATTGAAATTTATGTATCATCTCATGGGTATGATGAGTTTTGGTACTCAAATCCTCCTGATTCGTACATACAGAATAATAGTTTGACTACCCGAAGAGGCCACGGATCGTACAGGGAAGTTTTGTTGAATATAGATGAGAATTTAGTAGGATCTGTGGTTCCGTTCCCGGTGATTTTCACAGGTGGAATTAACCCTCTGTATTGGGAACCACTTGTTTCAATAGGGGCATTTGATCTTCCTTCTTATGACATTGACTTAACATCATTTTTGGGACTTTTACTTGATGGCCAAGATCACTTTTTTGGGCTTGGAGTTGCGGATGGTATCCCATTCTGGCTTGTGGATGCGAATTTGCACCTTTGGTTGGATAACAATGAAGTGCAGGCTAAAGCTTTTGATCTAGGTACTCCTAAGTTCAAGATTGAGCGGTCTTCGAGTTTTATAGGGTTGGATGGATCATTTGAGGTTGAGTTGAAGAGAAAGAGCCAGATTTCTTCTTGGGTGAATTCGTCAGCAGGCAATTTGACTACTATAGTTTCGCGAGAATTGAAGTTCAAGAACAAGATAAACTTTTATCTGAACGGAACTGAGAAGCACATTAAGCAGAAAGTGGAAGAAGAGATTGAAGTTAGAGTACTATCTATTAGTGGAAGCACGATATCTAAGACCAAAGTGAAGAGGAAATATCCACTTACTATAACCAGTAAGACTTTGCCATCAACGGAGAATGGTACAAGCTTGATGCTTTCTGATTTGGACCACGAATGGAAGGAGAAGAAGAAATCGGATGGAGGTTCTTCAAACACTTTGACAAATCGACAACAATGCAACGGGTGGATGGTTGTTCAAGATCACAATGTTTTATATGGTGGAGCAACCACTCAACAGAGTTATTCTTATGAGGGTGAAGCTGGTTGCTATTCTCGAAGCATTACAGCTGCCAATGGCATGCTTATGAATGACACTGCAAACAGTCTTTGTGCAGCTCCTTTGAAGTTTGGTTCGTTTTCTGCTTTGTGACACCCTGTTTGAAGAATCCTCTCTTGCCCTACGACCATCGCGTGTGTAGCATTAGAGTAGATTTTGGTTCCTACTTTTCTGTTTAAATAGTTTGCCTGTACGACTTATGTTTTTGTGTGAAAGGTGCAGGCTTCAATAAGGATGTGTAAAGTGTCATGAAATGAATTTTGTTTGATGATTTGCTTGATATAATGATTATGATATGAACCTTTGAGTCTGCTGAGTGTTTCTTGTCTTCTGGATATGCAGGAGGAGTAATTGAGAAGATAATCTCCTCTTGCAAATCTGTTCTCATATTTTGCTCCTGAAATAAACAATAACAACAATGACAATAAAACAAAAATAAGTACTACATGACAGAGGCGGATCCAGAATTTAAATTTAATGGGTTCAGCTTTTAAGATTTTTAGTATTGTACTGTTAAAATTATGAGTTCAACATACTCCGTGTCGAAAGTTGTGAATTCAGTTAACCCCTAGCCGAAAGGCTACGTTTATCCCTGCTCCATGGAATTATCTTGACATCTACGTGAAAACTTTGCAAGCATGAGCATAACAGAGAAGGAAGCAATGGATCCATAACATAGCTAAACCTGGCATTTGTTTCTTTTTTATCTTGTGTTCCATCAAGTGTTCATTTTACCCACTGTAGATAACTGTGCCAAAAAGCAAACATCTTTCGTCTTCAGAGACAAAATCACTTTCCTTTGGGAAGTATGTATTTGTATAAATTTGAATACTTCCTTAAGAGGAAATGAATGAATCAACATTCAGTAGAAAAATTGCTATAATTTCTTGAGAACTATGGTATTCTCTCTCTACAAAAAAGCTGGTATGCCAAAAGTAAAGTTACTGTATATAAGTGTGCCAAGAAGCGAACATCTTTTCATTTTTAGAGACAAAAATCACTTTCCTCTGGAAGTATGTATTTGTATAAATTTGAATACTTCTCTTTGAGAGGAAATGAATGAATCAATGGGATACATTCAGAAGAAAATTTGTTATAACTTGTTGAGAAGTATGTTTTCTTTTCTCTCTTTCTCTCTACAGATAAACTGGAGACATATATCTGTAAAATATACAAAACTGCTTAGGACTTTCATATTTTTGCAGTGTCTTTGGGGCGCCAAAAATCCTTCTTACCAACAAGAAACTGCTCTTGATGCAGAGTTACTGACCAATGAAGTGAACGCAGAATTGAGCCAAGTTGTTTAATCATCTGAAAAGTATCTTGAACTAATAGATATCCACCCGGTCTCAGCATTCTGTCCATCTCTACAGCTACATCCACTAGGTCACATCTGCAAAAAAGACAAAAAACTAAAAGTTCACCTCAAAAGAAAAAATTTGCCTACACCTGTTAACTGACAGTTCTTGCTAAAGCAAATCGTGCAAAAATTAGTTCAAAGTAGTAACCAGGAAGTAGTGACTGAACCTTTGACTTAAATTTCCAAAGAGGAAGCTGGAATGTAGAAGATCATATGTCCGCGGATAGGTATTGAAGGACTCGCACCAGTCATGGTATGTGCCAATCAATCCCCTATCAAAGATAATGGGTAAAGTATCCGGTCCACTGATAGGAACGACGTTCATTACCCACAGGGGTCGATCAATCAGTGCTGTAGCAAATCTGTATTAACAATAGGAGTATCAGTAAGACAATGAGGAAGCAGCACAAGTTAATATGCTTCCAACAAAATAAATTTGTCTTACCCTCCATAGCCTGCATTCATGTCCATCACATTCCTCACATTTGACCAATTTATAGCAAGGCCACCTAAGTACACATCTGATACCAGGGCTGCCCAGTGTTTTGTATCCGCATTGAATATTTCTTCAGTGTCTGTTTCAAGGGATAGACTTAG